CTCACCCCACCACCAACAAAGGATGCCACTTATGAAAGAAAATGCATTTCATTTACCATTGTAACTAAGAAACCTAGTAACCCCCCGCCAAGGACCTCACCCCTCCATGGGAGCAACTATTGATGCGTCCAGGGGAATCTAAGACAGTTAAAAATGTCCTGAGATGGCAGGTAACATCCATACAAAACTCCTAGAGGAAAAAAACCAAAGTGAGAATCAAACCTTTTCAAAGAGAACACCCAGTGTAATGCTCCATTGTGAGTTAAACAAGCATTTGCAGATATGAAAAACTATCTTAAACCATCTTAAATTATCTTGGAAATTTAGAATCTCCAAATAGAAATGGACAAAAAACTGAGAAGTTAAGGAATAAGAGTTGGCTACACTCAGGAAAGAAATAGAAGGAAAAGATACTTTGAAGTGGAGGAAACTGAGATGCGAAAAGTAGCCTGACTGTCCAATCTTGTAGCGGCTTCGTGGGAGGAATGGGTCCAGACTCCAGTCCCCAGACTCTGGGCTCTTTCGGTCATCTTGCCTTCCAGGCCTGGTGCCGTCTGCTCAGGATGGTACCTCGGGTTCCTTCTCTGCTATGACATGGGGCATAGCACTCAGCCCTTCTATTCTTCAGTTTCTTCATGTTGATTAGAGAAGATTGGTATTTAGCGGCTTGCACGTGGGATGCACTCTGAATACTAGTGATGCTCTGCTTATATTTTAGATACTTGGCAGGTAGCTAATTTTACAGCCTGATGCTTCTACCTGAGGACTTGGAGAGGCTCCGCAGTGGCTCTAGGAAAGTGGTTACCCTCCCAGATATCACTGATTCTGATGAGTTGATAGACAAGCAAAGTAGTCAGGCTGGTGCTAGAGCTGAGTTTAAACTCGCAGGTATAATGAGTTGGTTTACATTCCAGTCTTTGGTGAAGTTTTTCTTGGGTTTCCAGGATTGATATTGTGAAACCCTGCTTGGTTGCCAAAGAATCTTTCCTCTTCCTTCTCTCTTCTTCCCATTAGGTTTTATAACTGTTAATTAAGCTTTCTCAGGGCAGGCATTTCCTTTAGGTACATACACCTCTTTATTCAGGTGCTCAGATGATTTCTGTTTCTTTGAACAGCAATATTTAGTGTTTTCAACCATGTATTATATAAGTTTATTTTTGTATCACTTTATGAAATGCTGCATTTCATATAAACGGGGCTTTGTGTGTGTGTGTGCGCGCGCTCATTAGGGCTTACTTTATTTGCTTTGATACGCTTTTTTTTCACATTTCTTTTTTTTACTCAGTTATAGTCAGTTTACAATGTTGTGTCAGTTTCTGGTGTACAGCACAATTCTTCAGTCATACATGAACATACATATATTTGTTTTCATATTCCTTTTCACCGTGAGCTACTGCAAGATATTGAATATATTTCCCTGTGCTATAAACTTGTTTATCTGTTTTATATATACCTCTCAGTATCTGCAAATCTCGAACTCCCAGTTTATCCCTTCCCACCTCCTTACCCCTGGCAACCACAAGTCTGTATTATGTGTCTGTGAGTCTTAAATGGGGCTTTTATATCAGAAGGACCATGTGTTAGGTTTTTCTGAAGTTCTTATTTTTAAATTTTTGATTAATTTTTAATTTTAACATTTTTAATTGTGGTAAAACGGACATAACATAAAATGTACCATTGTAACCATTTTTAAGTATACAGTTCAGTATCGTTAAGTATATTCACATGTTGGGTAGCTTGTCTCCAGAGCTCTTTCATTTTGCAGAACTGAAACACTGTACCCATTCTCCTTCCCCTCAGTGGCTGGCAACCACCTTTCTACTTTCTCTTTCTGAATTTGACTATTCTGGGTATGTCATATAAGTGGAATCATGTAGTATTTGTCTTTTCATGACTAGCTTGCTTCACATAGCATAATGTCTTCAAGGTTCATCTCTTTTGTCACGTGTCAGAATTTCCTTCCTTTTTAAAAGACTGAATAGTACTCCATTGCATGTACCTATCACATTTTATTTATCCATTCGTTCATCAATGAACACCCAGATTGCTTCCACCTTTTGGCTGCTGTGAACAGTGCTAAAGTGAACATGGTTATACAAATATCTCTTTGAGACCCTGCTTCCAGTTCTTTTGGATTTATACCCAAAAGCAAGAATTGCTGGATCACATACTAATTCTATTTTTATATTTCTGAAGAACCACTCTACTGTTTTTCATAGTAGTCGCACCAGTTTACATTCCCACCAGCTGTGCACGGGAGTTCCAGTTTCTCCACATCCCCATCAGCACTTGTTATTTTCCTTTTTGTTTTTGATAGTAGCCATTCTGACAAGTGTGAGCTGATATCTTATTATGGTTTTATTTGCATTTCCCTACTGATTAGTGATGTTAAGCATCTTTTCATTTGCTTCTTTGCCATTTGTATATCTTTGGAGAAGTATGTTTAAGACTTTGCCCATTTTTTAATCAAGGCTTTTTTTTGAGTTGAGTTCTTTATATATTCTGGGTATTAACCCTTTCTCAGGTATAGGTATGAATATCAGATAGATATCTGGATGTTAACCAGCGTTCATCTATATCAGGTAGATATAGGTACAACC